CATCATACAATATATGGTTGACTTCTCAGAACTAGTCGCAACGCTGAACTGCTCCGCACCGCACGCATAACATGAATGAGTTGCCTGCAAGTGAATTGCCCGTTTGGTTGGTTGGTTGGATGGTGGTGGTGACAGGCGATGGGGGAGCTGCTGATAATGGTTCGTTTGGAGGAACGTGCTGGGGTGAGTGTGTGTGTGTTTGTGAGAGGGAGTGAGAGAAGGAGAGGGAGAGAGAGGAGGGAGAGGTGGAGGGATGCAGATACAACGGGCTGTATGCGGTCCGTTGTATTCGAACATTCAGCAATAATTTTTGTCTCATTCATATAGCATTTTGAAGTAAACCTGAAATGCATCCAAGAAATTAGCCTAGAATTCTTGGCTCAAATCAATTTTTGTAATATCGTTTGGCTATGGCCAAGAATGAATGAATGCTATGTACACTTGTCTGTTCGTCTGTCTGTCCTATATGTGGCATATATTGATGGTATTGTAGGATTGGATGAGAGACAGACAGATAGATAGATAAAGAGATAGATGGATAGACAGACAGAGGAAGGGAGGGGGTAAGAGATGGGCTGGGCTGTAATGGCGCTCTCCTTTTTCCACTGCTACCTAGTGCTGTGCTGATGTTGTGCTGCAATATGTCGAGGAGAGCAGTATAACGAATGGACGACGGGGCGGGGGGGACAAGGAGGGATGGCATCGAGTATTGAGAGAGAGAGAGAGAGAGAGGAGGGAGAGAGAGAGAGAGGGAGAGGGAGACTTGGGTATATATCTATGTGTTGGGGAAGGTTTGGTTTCCTTGGAGTTATCAACCTGTTCACATACCTCATCTATTTATTGAATTGTGAACTGTTTTCTGGATTGGTAATTATTTTGCTTTTTTTTTTTCTTTCAGGAAATCCTGAAAGAGATATGAGAAAAGATAGTGTAATTTGTGAAAAAGATAGAAAGAGAGAGAGAGAGAGAGAGAGGATAGAATAGATGGATAATTTTGCTTGTGTTGAAGATTTTTACAGGAAGGGTTGAGCAGGAAAACGGCCTATTATAATGGTCGCGCCAATGAATATTTGAATTTTTCAGATGAAGAAGACCTCTACTACTACTACTACTACTGCCACTACTGCCACTACTGCTATTGTTGAGGCTTTTCCTCTCAAGACTCAACCATCCATGATGACATTTGTCATTCTTGAAACTGTTGTTCACTGTCCTCAAAAGCAAAACTTTTTTTCCGCGAAAATTCATCGTTTCTTTTCTTTTGTAATTGTAATCGTTTGTTACTGTCTGTTTGTTTGTTGGCTATTCCTTTTTTTTTTTAATTATTATTTGTGCATCGTACAATTATCACCTTAGGACTATCATTTATCATTGCAGCATTGCTATTCTCTTTTCATATGGCGATATCATTATTGTTATCCAACTACATTACCTTAGTTAATATTGTTTTAATCCTCTCTCTCTCTCTCTCTAGAATTATCACTAATATTTTGAGCTGTAAATGAGTTTGCAATGAAGGGAAGAATATATGAATTTTTGTATTATAAAATAGTGAGAAGCTTACAACTTAAAAGGATGTATGTATCAATCAGATCATATTATTATTGCAAATGTAGTGTTGACCTGAGATGAGACAACATGACGCGATATCCATTGATGTATTTCTTTTGTGATTCCTTTTTGTCTACAATTTTTATAAATTTTATTACTTGGATACGTACAGGATCATCTGTTTAGCACAATTTTTTTTTTTTTTTGTGCCGTAACAGCTTTGACCAGTATAGCACACCTTTACCATTTATAGAAAACATCTGCGTCACTTATAGGAGGCAATTCTTGTTCTTTTCACTTGCTACTAAGGGACTTTATTAATCTTGATAGAAATTTCTATTAAATTAACCAATAGCTTATGCACATATCATCAAAAACTTATTGTTTCTCTACGTTTAGCTTTCTTTGTCTCTAAAATTAACGTTTTCAAGTAAGGTAATGAAGAAAACATACATATGTATTCTATTCTTTAGACGTCACAAATGTCACCTGAACTATTTCTATATAAAATAGGCAAAGTGTAAGTGACAATTGTCCATTTCATATAGTTAATTAGAGTTATTCATTTCATATGGCATGCAGCTTTCTTTTTCCCACTGATATCGTTTGATGATAGCAAAATATGAGTCCCCCTGTGTGAAACTATTATCTTATATTAAAACTTAACAAAATTTGCGAAGCGAAAAGATGATAAAACATCTGGCGCTTATGACTTCATGGTTACATCACAGGATGATTAAATTTTGTGATTTGTTTTTTTTTTTTTTCTTTCCTTATGTTTATTTATGAATTCCAATCAGTGACACTAACCTATTTGGTTAATATGCTCCTTTGTTTCAAGAAAAGCTAAGAATAAGAAAATCAAAAATAATTCAACTATTTGTTCATTCAGTATTAGCCTATTCCAAGAAGAGACGAAAATAAACGTAAATCTTTTCCATATCTTACATATCATATAGTATGGACAGTGAAATGAGTGAACTTTGCTGACCAATTCATCACCTTTTGTATGAAGAGTGTAAAAGCAATTGTTTTGATGATCGCTGTGGTACAGTGAAAGTGGGTTAGATGTAATGTGTCATAATGTGGCAGTGGTTGGTAGTGTGATTAAATGATGAACGGATTTTCATGTCATTATGTACTCTTGGCAATGCTTTTGGAGTTAGTTTTTCATTTGCATGTTGTATTTAAGTGCATCCATGCTCTTGCAGGTATTTTGATTAATTTTTCTTTTTTTTTTTTGTGTATGTGTGTGTGTGTGAAACTTAAGTTAATTTTGCAAGCATTATAAGTGAATGATGATTAACTGATAGGGATCAGAGATGAAAGCATCGTTTGGGAACGTTTGAGAGTGTTCCAAATTAGAAAGCATATTTGTTATAATTAGGTAGAAAGCGATAATTGATGAGGTTAGTTTCTTATTGCGTGATAGAAATATGTGCTGATGATATATGTATATATATATATACATGGTTGATTTTCGATATATGGTATGGTTATTAAATGATCTGGGCATTCGAACTAGATTTTGCATACTTTTTAGAGTGCTTATTTTATTAGGAAAGAAAATTCCTTTGAGAAGATCACTGAAAATAGTATATATAAATTCATATATCTTGTTAAAAAGGAAATAGGATGGTGTAAGATTCTTTCAACATCTACCTTTGCAAAAGATTGAAAATCGTAATTAATGAACTTCGAGACAGGTAGGGTTTGATAGTCTATGGTTATTTGAGTATGTGCTTTCATAGTCTGCTCAAACTTAGGCTCATCGATCGATGTGTTAATAGAAACATTTCAGTTGAAAAATGACCACATTAATTCGTATTGCGAATGGGGGGAATTTGTAATGATGTATAAGTAATGCTTCGAATATATAAGTCTTTTTAACATATCTCCATTCCCTGTATGTTTCTTTGTTTTACCTGTAATTGTTAGAATTTCTCTTCATTCTAATAGATTAATCCTAGATGGTAACATCGATTTCTGAATAAATGTGTTATTTGGTAGGAAAGATAATTCAATAATTTTATGCTTGGATATCTCCAATTATATTATATTTATATCCGTGGCGAGATGTTTCTGTCATTTATTTAATGCTTGTTATACTCTTTCAATTTCAATTAGTATTTCTTTCGTTTTACGTAATTCAATTGGCACATTTTCAGGACATTAAACAAATTTTTCTAAATTACAAGTTCTCACTAGCATTGGCATTCTTCCTTTTTGATGTTACTCACATCGAGAATTGTGAATTAAAAAAATGAAATTTATTTACGTTTTATGTGTGGTATATATACATGCATGTGTGTTAGCACTTCGATTGTTCTTTCACCAATACTACTTTTTCTGTGGAAGCTAAAAAAACTAATGCGAAATTATGGATAGAAAAAACAAGCATGCAGCATCATGATTTGACGTCATGTGGAAGGGTGGGAATGTGTATTTTTCTTGTTTGAATATCAACCCGGGAATGACTAATTGCTACAAGTCAGTGTCAGTCCTAGCTGCAAAAGAAATTACAGATTTTTTTTTTTTTATTTTTAAGATTCTGTGAAGAATTGCAATTGAATGGAATTATTTACTCCTGTGATATGTTGTTGCTTTTTTCTTGCCACCCAATTGAAAATAAGTGGTATCTAATCCAGTTGGTTAACTCAGAAACTGGCAGACTTTTCAGATAGAAATGAAAAAGGCAGAAGATATTGAAGAGGAGAATTAGTGATGTTGTTCTGATGATTTTTGATAACATTTAGGCTATATAGAGAGGAAATCCTTAAAATTGTACAATTGTTTTAGTTGAGGTTGGTTTCTTCTAAGCCAGGTATCTGCCCTTCTTTCAGTTTTTTTTGTCCACTCCATTCGATATAATTTCCGTAAATGTACATATACAGTATGTATTGATACTAAAGATTCACAACTCATCAGATTTTAGGCGCTGCGAATTAGACTTGCAAAAAAGGTTACGCAGCATCGACATTATTAATACTGTTTCATTACTAATATGATACAATTATTACTCTATCACCATCATTTCATTACAACTGGTTGATTTCTTAAACGTAACTACACTGGTATTCAAAACGGTTATTCGTTGTAAACCGGGTTCAACTATACAAGTGGATGAAACTGTCCGACGAATGTTATAATTTTTCTAACTAAAGGGTAAAATTTTATTCATTTTTTGAATTATTTATATAATCCTGAGCCTCTGTAGTAATTTAAAATCGACGTTTATGCTGTCATGTGTTATAGCATTTAGCATTCTATTAAAATAGATTAGCTGTCTATCAGTGGACTGTTTTAGTGCACCTCCGTATTAGGGTGTTGATTTGGACTGTGTTGCTTAAAATTTCGCTTTTATGTCGAAGGATTTAGGTTTCTCTGTATACTTAACTTTTGCAACTTCTATATTGAGGACATAAATCAAAATCACCACTGTTACAGAAATGGCTACAAATGCGACATCTCAAGGTCCTTGTGCTGCTGAAACACCCAAATCAAGCAGTGAAATGTCACCTCAGGTAAAGTGTTCTCGATCAGTTCTTGAATGGATGGAATTTAAATTTCAGTCGAGTGTTATGTGAACGAAAAGAGTTTTTGCATTAATGGTAGTGAGCTTTGAACATAGAGTATAAGAAAGAAGAAATTTTGTTTGAAAAATGAAAGAGTATTTTTGAAGAGAAATACAAAGCGCTTGTGCAGGTTTAATATCGGAATTTGGTATTAGGTGAAATGTTGGAAGTGAAAAGTCTAAGAAATGGAAAAACAGCTTAAATGATAGTATTGGCTATTTGCACTGCTCCCAAAAAATTTTTTGAAGTTTTTGCATTTTGAGATCGATGCTGGTAACAAGGAAAGAATAAGAATCTGGAGTATGCTTGACTATTTTCATTTTGAAATTCGGCTTCAGATATTTCCTAATTGTTGATTTCTTGCTGGAATTATTCTGAATTGCTTTTCAGCAGCAACAACAACAACATCAAACGGCCACACCAACGCTGAACAATTTACTCCGTAAGGTTTAAGGGTGACAGATTGATCTCAATTTAGAAATTGAAAGAGATAAAGTTTGGAAATTTATTCATTTATGTTAGCAAATTATGGATTAAAATCTTCATAAACCACGATAAAAGCTACTTTAAGTATTTGTACAGCTTCAGGAACAGAAGGTGCTGTTACTCCTGGGACACCCGTGTACAATATGATACCACAAGGCCCACAGCCTCAGAATGTGCAGCAGCAAATGCAAATACCACCACATATTCAACATATGCTGGTTCCACCGCAACCTAACTTTTCATCTTCGGTTTGTTTTTAATAGTTTTAAACTATTTCTTCAATGTTTATGCTTCACTTTATGGAGAGGGTAAAAAGTCTGAAAACTTCAATACTGTAAAGAATAGTTTTTACAGCTTGTAAACAATTAATGAGTTTGCATAACATGCGTACGTATATGTATTCTTATTTATTTATTCGTTTGTTTACATGTATTTTTCATCCATTTCATTTATTTATATGTTTATTTACACGATCTGAGAGGTAGATCGAAATTCTATTTAGGACTTGTACTATTAAAACAATATTTTTGGAATTCATATGGCGAAAAAGTAGTGGTTCGGAGAGTTGATTCTCGATTTATTCGTTTCTGTGTATTTTAACCTGTTAGAAAAAATTTTGTACTGGACTGTTTAACTAATCCTGATATACTTATATAGATAGTCGAAGGAGAGATGAGTTTTTGCTTTGATGTCAGTTGAAAAAAAAATTTTTATAGTTGTTGCGAGTGATATCTACAACTTTTTAATTTATCGCCATTTTCCTTCATACTCGTCATACTTAATGCAATTTAGGAATGAAAGAATGAATGGATATGCTACTGCGTTAAATAGATTCATCTATATTAACAAAAAAAGAGTTTAGTATTGTGATAGTTTATTATTTAGAATGGACACCTAACGTAATTATAAAATATTTCTAATTTCTCATTTGTGTTAGAAACATTTTATCCAAATATTAGTGACTACGGGTAATCTTGGCAAAAATTGTTTTACTGAAGAAAATGCAGATCTACTTCGTGCATGTGCAATAGTAAAAGTACTTGTAAGAAGTGCTTAACGCGGCGAGTACGCGTATGTAATAACATCTGATGAGCTTTAGTAACGTTTTTAACAATCCTTTTGAATTTAACATCGAACAGAAGAAAATTCCAGTAGATTTTTTTAAGTAGAAATTTTGAATATTTTATGATAGGAAATGTTAAACTTCCTGTAATTTGATTTTGCGGATGACTTTTGATCTTTTTTGCATTGTAAGCCTGTGGGTTGATTGCCTGATGACGTGCAATTGTTTTTCTAATTTGCTTGTTAAAATGGGAAGAACTCATATCTTTTGGATGAATGAAATGGTTAATGGGGATACTCGAACTCGATATCATATGTTATAACTTCAATTATCCTTTATATTTATTCATCTACACACACACACACACACAAACACAAACACACGCATATTAACATTATGATTAGTTCATTCATGGTTAATGGATTTGATTGAATTAAAAGAATGAACTCGCATTATATTGCTATTATTAGGGCCAGTATATGAGTTACTTTTTGTGCACTGCCATCATCATCATTGATGTCTGATGATGCTTTTTCATCACTAATAGTTTTCTTGCTTAAATCTTGAGTACTTATTGGAAATATATTAGTAACTGAGTTTGTGTTTCATGAGTCTTTATTCTTTGAAGTTTTCTTTCGTGATTCCTTTTTTACTTCTAGAGAGCTTTCTTATGATTAGTTTTCTCTATTTTCCCCATTCATTCATTATGTACCGATTTTTAGTGTGTAATGAAATATTTGTATTAACAGTAAGTTGGTAGCAAATTATCTTCCCTGTTTCTTTGACTGTGCATATTAAGCAAAATTTTGTTTTGATTTATGTAGTATCACAAAAGGATGGATGGAGATTGCTGTGCAGTTCACATGTGTACTGAGAGTGGTGGGAATTTCGGTAGCCGTGTGAAAATAAAAGGGATATCACCTTGAAAACAAATTGCAATACACATCGGTCGTTTCCGCTCTGTCCGATATATGCGGAGACGAGTTCGATTACATCATATGCAGTGCTCTTCATTATATCTCGAATCCTCCTGTAATTCCTTTTTATTGCTCTTTTCTAATATGTGCTTGTGCACTCGTGCATAGTCTAAGTGGTTTAGCATTTATGCGCTTCGCTTTTTTGTGGTAGAGTATTCATGATATTTGAGCTGTAGTAGGGGAGAAATATTGCCTACAATGATTTCTAATAGAAAGACAACAGAATAACAGCTGATAAAATAGTAAAGGCAAAATGGGAGGAGGATTAAATTATTGTTGTATTGTTAGATTAAGTGTAGTAGATTCTTTGTTGTTAATGAATTCAAAACTGTTGAAATATTTCACTTTGAAATTGTCCCATTTTATATTATCACTAAGGCATTTATGTATTTTTAGGCATTTAATAGAATTAGCAGTAATATGTCACTAAGGTATGGGTAAAAGTGAATTGTGTATAATTTTGTACTCGCAATGGAGTAGTGGAACTGGGCGGACTTGTCCGGTATAGATTTAACATTATGCAAGTGTTTTTGTGAGATATAAAGAGTAAAACATATATTAGATGCTGAGTATTCTAATTATGTGCGCTATAAATTGCTAAGCAGATCAAAGAAAATTAACAGGATAAGGAGAAGTAGTGGTGTTACGAATTTGAATTTTCGATGTACAATTTTGTAAAATCGAAGAAAATAATAGGAAGAGGAACAGGGATTTTCAACGGATATGATGATGGTTCACTGCATTGCCTTCTTGATCACTCCCAAAAGTTTCTCTTGTAAAGGACAAAAATTAGCCTTAATTGCTTTCCTCCTTTCTTCTATTCTTGATTGATGTTTCATACGTCAGTCGCAGCTGGGAACTGAATTTTCTGAAATTGACGGATTACGGTAGTAGGGAAGTGAAGAAGAGGGAGAAGCAGCTCAGTCCTAAGCATTTCAGTCTTTTAGCAGAGGAAGACAAGCCTGATTTTCGTCCTCCCAAAATCATATTTTCTCCTCATTCTCTTCACTTGTTTATAAGTAAAAGTACATCTTTTCCTTTGTTAGCTGTATACAGCCTTTCGAATTTTTCATTTTCCCAGCGGCAACTTTTTTTACTAAGAACTGCTTTCGTTTTTCTGTCACTCATACATACATTGTTGATGTGTAGCTTGGGGAGAGGGGGAAGTTTAATGTTGAATTTCTTATTTAGAGAAAAGATTCGAACAATACTACTGTGACTGTGGATAGATAGATAGATAGCTGTGTGAAGATGAAGGGAGAGGGGAAGAGAGGGAAAGAAGGGATGAAGTTCAGGATACCGTCACCATTGTCATTCAATGAGAGGAGATGTGATCGAGGCCAGGCCATTGCCATTTCTCTGTTTCACTTCACTTCAAACTCGTTATTTCTGAAAGGACGACGATATGTTATATCTACGTGCTCCCTTCCCTTCCCTTCCCTTCCCTCTGTCGTGTATATCATGATATTGCTGGGTGAGTGTGTATATATTCGTTAGTTCGGTGGCATTTCAGCGAGTCGTTCTGTGCGGTGCAGGAGCAGCAGTGCAGAGAGAATTTCGTTCATAGTCAACTTCTTTTTGCGAGATAAATGGCTCCTCGGTACATTCTCTTCGATTCCCCGATTATCGTTCTGTAGTCAACCAACAGCAGCACTAGTAGTAGTAGTAGTAGCAACACAGCAATAGCAGCAGCAGCAGTAACAGCAACAGCAATCCACTAGTTCCGCAGGCACCCATCCCTTGGGGGGCCATCCATCGTGAATGTGGCCCTTCTATCGCTGCTCCATCCAACCACCACCACCATCTCCTCCTCATCGTTGGTCGTTGTCGTTGTGTACATGCCTTTCTGCAACACACACACATATATACATATACACATCCAGTATCGACATACCACACTACTCACACTATTCCATCGAGACATACATGAGATGAGCGAGGGACGCGATATGGAGGGGACCGAGTCGAATAAATTCTGCGTGAGGTTGGTCTGTCATTGAAATGTACCGCACGCCACTGACACAACACTAACAGCAGTGTAGCACACTTGGCTCTTTATTGGGACATCACGACAGCGTTATGCTGCTTTTCTTTACTGTCCCTTCCAATAAAATGCTATTTTAAAATCATTAAAAACATTCATCAACAACAGTACAGATAATTGATAATACTGATATAAAATCCATACTTACATACACACACACACTGATCATTTATCGAGTAATGACCAAGACGTTATAATATACACAAGCGTCAAAGGAAGCGCAAATGTGTATTCACTTACCAACATTTCTCATAGTACCGGTTATAAACTTATCAGAATATATGAAACATGACTGACTGGACAACAATTCTAAAGATGACAATAAACAAAGTAAAGTATACAAAGGGGATACTATTAGTTACGATTCTTCTTTTAGTGTTGTTTTAGGATTGTGTGTCATACAGTCTTCCTCAAACAAACAAAATCTTTTTTGAAGTTGTGAAAATGATACCATTTAATGACAAGTACACATGGTAAAGCATTCAGATTTATTGAGGAATTTATCGTAATGTCGTGTGCTTCATGGGGGCGTGTTAGGAGAGGGAGAGAGAGGGAGGGTAACTGTAAAGGACTAATAGCAGTAGTGATAGTTTATCAATTTCATTTATTATTATTATTAATGATCTTTAAAGTGTTATTTTGTTGTCTTTGCCTTAAAAGAGAAAACGGGACAGTTATTAGTAAAATTCAAGGTTTGAATAATATCTATTTGTTACGAACATAATATGAACATTATCGCTAATATATGAATACCATATTCATATATTAATTGAAACGACAAAATCATGGAGTTAGAGCTCATGAGTTTCAGCTTCTCCTTTCTAATAATTTCAAAAAAAAATCCCTCGATATTTCATTATTATTCAAATAAATACCTCTCTTGATGTTGATGTTTAGTGTGTTTTGCATTATGTAAGAGTTAATAGAATTAGATAGCTCTCTACTACTTACATTTTCGTGATGAACATGAATAATTGGAATAATTGCAATTTTTATTGTGTAATCAAAAAGTTGCAGTCAATATATTAGTGAAGGTCAAGCATAGAGTTACATTTGAAAAGATTACATTTTGAATGTCGTGATGAAATGAATGATTTTTGTTAATAGAATGCGGTGAAGTGGAGAAAAAAAACGGTAGTATTTGATGCTACTTTGAATTTTTATTTCAATATGCCTTGAATTCCTCTTGTTGCATACATATTCCTTCTAAAGAAATTCGAAATAGGCCGTAACCAATACATTGAAAATATTACAGGAAGTGGTAGTAGTAATAATATGGTAGTAGTAGTAGATATTAAGCTATGGAACATTGTAAAATTGTGTACACGAAATGAAATAGCATGATGTAGAATAGTTTTCTAGCTGCGGCTTCATTTTTTGAAAACGAGGAATTTATTGCTTGTTGGGGAATTCCCATGCACTTTTGTTTAGTTGTTTAAGAAAAAAAAAAAAAAAGAATGAGAGAAGGTTTGAAGTCGGAAACACGTGGTCATATAAAGTGTATATGATGCGGTGTAGGGATAGGGGATGGTTTTGGGTCGTTGATGTTCTTAGGGAGATGGGAATAATTTGTATGTATGATATGACGATCATCAAATGGTTGCAGGGTGGGGAAGATGGATAAGAAGCCATAAGGAAGGGGTGCGAAGAAAGTATATGTTCATAAATAATTGCACACCCGTAAGACTAGTGGCTTAGGTATTGCCGAAATGCAAAACCTAGTGACGTCGCTATCAAACATTCATTTCAATAAAGAACAGTTATTGAAGAGATGGGCAGAGCGGAGGATGTGTTTGTTTTTTTTTTTCCTCTTCTTTTTTTCCCCTCTTTTTTTTTTCTCTTTTTTATACTGATTATAGATTTATACTTTTTCCTGTTTACGAATTTATTATTGGTGAGCCAGGAAACTTGCATAATTACGGAGTGGATTTGAGGCCTATTTCTGAATTTGAGTTAAAGTTTTCCCCTTTGTTTTAACTTTTGCTTTTTTTGTTTTTTATCTTATTAGAAATCGACTCCCCGTTAATGTCCTCAGTGAATTGCAATGATTTAAAAACATAACCGACAAGTTAGAGAGGGACCACTTTGGAACACTGCTTAGTTCATCTTTGTCTTATTTATTTGAATACCATTATGCAGTCATAATCAAAAATCTCGTATAAAATTCATTTTTTGCATTTGGGTTAGGCCTGTTTCGGACAACTGAAGAAGTGAAGAAACAATTCCAAAGTTTTTTTCAGCAACCGTCATCACTTGCGAACGGTAGCTATAGTAGTCCAGGTTCGGTCGTTCTTCAAAAGGGAAATGTGAAGGGGAAGGCCGGAAGACCGGATTCGCGTGATGTTGTGTTTTCACCGGCTGCTGGTCAAAGCGGACCACCACCACAAATACCACTGCATATGCAGAATTCGCCAGTTGGTACTGCATTACCCGGCTCTGTCCGAATGGAAGTACCATCATCTAGTTCAACACTGGGTAGCTGCTTGATTTTGCTTAAGCTATCTTTACTTCATTAATTTTAGTGGACAGTTTTTTGAAACAAATTAATGAAAATTTTCAAAGCAAGTTAATGAACATATAACGGGATTAGGCGACCTCTGTAGAAAATGTTTGATTATTTGAAATCAAACGAATCAAACATTGATAAGCCAGAAAAACTATTCGCTACTCTTGCCATTTGTAAGCAGAAACCTTGCTTTTTATGATATTTATATCCAAACTTTTTGTCTCAGGGCCTCAACAAATGCAGCAACAGGTGCCTAATCAACAGAGTATGGGTCAGGTGCCACCTTCCGGTTAGTTCTTGTATTTTAAATTTTTTTAAAAGAAGTCATATAGAACACTTCGTTTTTTCTAAATTCAAGATATAAGAAAATTAAAATTTTGCTCTTCTTACAGCATATTCGCCTGCTGTGTACCCATCTTATTGGCCGCCACAGCAAATGCGCTACATGCAACCAGGAAATGTTCATCCAGGCCATTATTATCCAGTACAAAATCAAGGTCCCATGCCACCATCAGGTAATTTAGGTTCGTAGTTCTATGTGATATCTCTTGCCTTTAGCAATTAATGATTGAAATATTACATGTTGCAAAATATTTTCCAGCCTTTACTGGATATGGTATGCCACAGGGAGCACGTCAAATGATACCAGCAAATTCAGCTAAAATGCAGCAGTCATCACAAATGGAAATCCCACGCATGCCGAATGGGCCGGTACCATCTGATTGGCAGTCCAGAATGAATATTTCAAAATCTCTTCCGGTAAATGGTTAACGAAAGTTTGCTCATCATAACAGAAATGTCATTGGATTTACTATGTTTATTCATATCCAGTACAAAATCAAGGTCTCATGCCGTGATAATTGCAATCTTTTTCATTCCAAAAACTGTCTGTCTGTGACGGCATAACTTAAGATTATAGTAAAACCCTTCAATTATTACATAATAGATAATACAAAACTGGACCATTAAATTTGGATTATATTCTGTATTTTTTGGATTATAGGAAGCAGTACAACAGACTGTTTCTGGACAGCAGTCCTTGACCCCGTCTTCTGGAATGCCAGCACCGAGTCCAGGTGGCGCGTCTTCAGCCGCGGATGAATCTTTAGAGGATTCTAAATCTTTACCTGGTGCTTCGCCGAATCCATGGCCTCATACACCGTCACAGATGAGCCAAGGACATGTAAGCGTTTGTTTTGGGATCTTGAAAGATTTAACTTGAACAAGCTTTGCTGTAAGACTACACTTTTTCGTTGCAGAGAACCCCGGTGCCTGCAAACCGACCAAATACACCCACAGTGAATAAGCGGCAAGATTCAACGTCGATTATTGATAGATTAGTAAGTTTGTTTTCTTGGATATTGAGTGTAAAAAATGATTTTTACTCTCACAATTTGGATTACTAGAACTTAATACTGTACGAGGTTGAAAAATCAATCTACAGAATGGAATGTTGAAAAACTACTTCAGAATTTTGAAGACATAATTTTCTTTTTATTTTCTGAGAATATTTTAATCATATTTCAGGTGGGGCCTGTAACTGCAATGAACCCGCAACATATAATGCCTGAAAGGAGAGCTTTCTTCGAGAAATTAGTCCAATTCTGTGAACAACAAGTACAAATTTATCTGCTTGATAAGAAAATTGCAACAGAAGACTGTCGTTATTCAGTCTAATCTCACAGAGCGTTGTTTAACCGTAAACACTGCTAAATTATTGCTAAATTATTTCTCTTTCACTGTTTTCGGGAAATTATTACCCGTTAATTTTTTCTATGTTTAGGGCGAACCAATCACGCAGGTTCCACAGGTTTCAAAACAAACGGTTGATTTGCATCGTCTTTATTTAGCTGTAATGAAACGTGGTGGTTTTGAACAGGTACTGACTATGTGTCATCTTTGAATATGTCATTTGTAAATTCTTGGCTTAATGGTTCTATATGACTTACTAGTAACTTTCTTAACATTCTGAAAAGTCATGCTGGATTTTCTGCATTCAAGTTGAATTTTGGTTATTATTATAGGTAACACGTGATAAGACATGGAAACAGGTTTGTACAGAAGCAAATTCGGAGATGTCCGAATCGTCTGCAGCTGGCTACCAGTTGAGGCGGCATTACCAAAAATATTTGCTAGGATTGGAATGTTTGGAAACGGGCAAGAATGCCAGTGAGGTAGTTGCATTTGCAGAACGGCTGAAAAAACGTCGAAAAGACAACAAGGACCATAATGCGCAGCAATATCCAGGGCCTGGTATGCTTAAATTGGTCTTTAGTATATATATTATAATGAAAGGTGTGTGGAATTAGTGGTGATTATAGTTTCAGTGGTTGTGCTGATTTCAGAGTTTTAGACGAAGCTCACAAATATGGGAAATGATTTTCTCACTAATAAGTAGAGAGAAATTGGGAGATTGAAAATTTTAGAAATTGAAGGAAAAAATGATTTATTTAGAAATTGGAGAAAAAATGTGGGGAAAATAAGGCATTTTTGTACTTTTGTTAAAACTCTGTTCTATGAATACTACTTTTCTCAGTTTAGGAAAATACTTTTTAATGTGGTAAGAGCATTAATGTCTGCTATTGCGCCTTAAAAGTTTGAAGTTGGTCCCGGCTTTTAATTCATTTGGTCGCAAGAAATGAACGTTGTTAGTGCTAAAAACTTTATTGGTCACATATCATATATTTCTTTTCATTACTTATAATTTTATTAGTTCAGACACTCATAAAAAATGAGAGGATAAGATTGGCTAAAAGATGATAAGCTTTTATTTCGTTCTGATAAGAAGTGAAATGAACTGTCTTATTTTGGAATTTTATCTTTGTACTTTTCTCATTGAGTGATATTATTTCTTTTGTCCTGCTTTGCACTACTGAAAAATAAGTTTGAAGAAGAATTTTGTCTTGTTTCTTTTTTTCCTTCCCGGCATTTTTTGATAGACAAAGGTTGAAGGAAGGTAGTATTATAGATTAGTCATGCATAGCACTTTCTTCTTCCCCTTCTCATTGCTCTCTGTTTTCTTTTATTTCATCTGCTCTTTCGGCAGCATTCCGTATTTGTGACGTCATCAAGATTTCGTTTGCTTTGGCTTGTTGCCACTAGCCTATGTGTTTCGCGGAACCATTATTCCCATAATAAATTTACGACATTTTCTTTTATTCAAGAGGCTTCTTTACATGTAATAGAAACGTTCATTGAAAAGAAGAATTGGTGGTAGTTAACTTTTAACTTTTTCACAGTTTTTTCTAACGACTTATGAAATTTATTTCTTCACATTTAAATATTTCCAGTTTAGTGGATGTTTGATGTCGACGACATAGGCTTATGCAGACTTAGACTTTTAATGCTTTATTGTATCTTGATTCAGAAATTTTCGTTATCCTCGTTTTGTGTCATTCATATCCTTACGTTTCTTTTTTACTATGTTTTTTCGTCATTTTTTTTTTTTTTTTTTGTTTCTATATTATCTGGGAATCCTTTGATTATGTTACCAGTTATTTGCTGGTCATCATACTTTTTGCACTTGAATTAAGTCCCTTACTGTTCTGCAAACTTATCAGAATGAAGTGCAGAAAGATATTTTTAAACCTTCCACTGCTTTCACCTTATTACGAATGAGTTTTAATTGGTTAAGTCAGTGTCCAAAATTAAAGACTTTGTGGTCGGACATTTTGTGTTCATTTAGTAGGAATTTGGCCTGATATCGTCGCTAACATTTCGTTATATGTCTTGATTAGAATTGGTTGTAATTTAGTTCGTGATATATATATATATATATAAGGTGATTACCTGATGTTATTCATAACAAGTATTAAATTGTATCGGGAGTACCGCTTTTTTTTTCTAATGATTTTTTAATGGATACATTGGTATGGGTTTGTGTAGTATGGAAGCTGGGTGAAATCTAACTGGTTAGAATTTATGCTCATCGCATAGTGAAAGAGTTAAGTACTGTTGTCAACTAAGTTTTTTCTTCTTAGTGTAAGCATGGTTGAGCTCTCATTTGGTGAACTGTTCCAGTATAGACGATTAAGATTACGATCAGTCGGTAAATTGAAGGTGTACGAGAATGGCGAAGCAAGCCAGCCATTGGTAGCAATGCTTTATACGCAAAGCTTTTTTGTCCGAAATTCGAACAACAGCGGCTTCCGATTTTTTGTTTGCAAGTTTTTTTACTTTAATACTTAGTTTTAAGCATTTTGAAAGTAGTGATCGACCTTTTTTGTATCCATTGGTCTCTCTGGCAGTAGCAAAATTTGGATAGTTTACTTGAAGGAATTTACATCGGCCACTGTTTTTTTTTAATTTTATGTGATATCCAGCTGTAGTAGGATATTTGTTTGGACAGGCATAATATTGTAATGAAAGTTATTAATTCATTATGTTGAAGGGATAAAAGCAGTGATTCCACTAAATCTGTTGTTTGCTGAACTTTTTTATGAGTTATTTTTTTCAGAGGGATAGGTTCCTCTTGATGGTTATTGCTATATTTTTCTTGGATTACAAACAAAATTTGAATAAACCGAGTTGCAGGTAGTAAACATGGGTAGAGTGTTTGCTCAGTTTCCAGACTTCGTTTTCATCCTTCCCTGTATTTCATGCAAAAATGAGCTTAAGGTGGCATTTGAGAAGGTAAAAAAAAGTAAATAAGCACACTGCTTTTGTAAAAGGGATAGAAAGAGAAAGAAGGGGACAAAAATGCAGTAGAGCTAGGTGCTGTTTCAATTTGATGTGAAGGCAGTTATTTATTTTTTTATTTGTTTGATATTGGTACATACTCTTATACAAATGTGTGTAGTGTAGCTTTTTTTGCTAATGATTTAATATTTATTGTTCATGCTCGTGAGAATTATGCTAAAGGGAAAATAGGCTATAGCGCCTCTTTTTCCAGTTCAAAATGAGCCATAAAGAAGCGTAAGTAATCAAAAGTATTGATACAATTTGCGATCTAGGAATGATCTAGGATACTGACGTATAGTGAAGTCATAATTCAATTTGAAGATAAGAAAAATAACAATGGACATTAAAAGATATTAAGAATTGCTCGACTGAGAATAAGCTATGAAAATTTACATTCAGCAGGAATTCTAAAGATATAAGTAAAGTTAACGACATGAAATCGCATCAACCTTTCATGAATATTCTTCAAAATATATAAACTCGATCCATTTAGTCAATCGGACTACACTTATCTATGACTATACAACATTTGGAACAAATTTAAAATTGTGAAGCAACTTTATATGAAAATGTGTAGCTACGTGCTTACGAACTAGCATTTTAAAAGTTGGATGAAATGAGACAAGTTTTGCTTCTTTGTCGTGCTTATTCCTTCCTTTCGCTAACCGATTACCACTTTTTGATCGTCTTGATGAGTTGTGTGCAAAATTCTACAATCAGCAGCAAATATGCAGAAAATTATTTCCCAGTAATATGTCCCAAAATACAGATTAAGTGTAAAAGTGAGCTCGGAATAAAACTGCTATCGTGAATCTTATTTGGTTAATAAAGAGACTATTTGGTAAATAATTGAAATAAGTTAAAGTTAACGATCTGAAATCACATAAATCTTTTATAAACATTCTTCAGAATGTGAGAACTTCATTCACTAAGATGCGATGGGGAGTAGTAACGAATATCTGAAGGAATGTAAATAATTGCTCCATTCATTGAAGAGTGGGAAGAAAAGGCAGAGATTATATGCACCATGTTTAAATTGTTATCCTCTTTTATTGTTTTCGACGAGTCTTTATCTCGAAAAATCCTTATATACTTTGAAATACAAAGTTTTTCTTGCCAAACAACAGCTCTTTCATTTCTTTCCTTCTTACGAGCATTTTTTTCAGACTCTTGAACTCTTTTAGTATTGCTACTATTATTTAGCTATAGAAGAACTGTTCTTGAGGTGTTTCGGATAAAGGCCATCAATTTTAATAAGGCATTTAGGTAATATGTGAAGCATTCTTCGGCTTATCATATGTTTTTCTGATTGGTACTGGAATTGTTCTACAAAGAAAATGTTGAAATTGCGAGGAGATAGTGCAATGAAATCTTTAATGAATTTATTAATAGTGCTGAATTAAGTATCCATTTAAAGACAGTTGATGTTTTTTATTTAATGTTGATATTGGTGTTCGTTTAAGTGTAGGTGCTTCTTTGTTTGCAAATACTGTGTTATTCATCTGCTATTACTTCCTTTTAGAGAGTTTTTTTATCTGGTAGTAAGGGATTATAAAAAGATGGTGATCGCTCAGAGGAATCAAAGGAATTGAGTAGGGACTTTTATACCATATATTACCATCAAAATATTGCACTATGAAAATTTTGAGATGTGAATTCATCATTCTACTCCTTTTTGTATTTGTTTCATGCAGTCATTTTTCTTTTTACAACTGTTACGTTAAGAAAGCTAAAAAAAACTAAGAAATAATTTGTTATCCAACATACTTTCAACTTCTTGCATCTATATATTTTACTATTTGATCATCATGCTACTCGCAAAATACATATCAACTGGCATCAACCGAATCTGTGAATGATAATTGTTGTCGTCTTCATCATCGTTTTTTTTCAAATCATAATGACTAGAGATATCCATATCAGTCTTTTAAAGTATCATCAACAGACACCTAAAATCATTAGATATAACTGGAGCAAGGCAGCGATTAAATGTGTAAAGAAAGAAGGCGAGAGCACAGCAGTGATAAATAGAAACATGGGAGGGATGAAAGAAAGTGATTTTAGTTACTTATCTAGCTGCACGAGCTGTATTAGAGTTATAGCCTAGGCTGCTAGACTGTTGTTTCTATTCTTTATTCTACTAGAATGTATTTGCTAACTCATGCTTGGCTAATCTTCTGTTCCAATTAGATAATGTTAATGCACTTCGGGTTTTAGCATAACTATCGAAAATATCTCAAAGTATAGTCATTGTTTTTTGAAATAGAACAGTTTGGTGGATGGAAACAACAACAGATAATAGGAGCAAATTTGCAAATTACTCTGAACGATTAAAGTACTTTATCTGTCGAATCATTTGAACTGGTGAAAGGTCGTTGTTCCCGGTACCTTTCTCTACTTTAATATTTAGTTTATATTATAATTTTAAATAACCATTTCTGATTGAAGGAAAGTATTTTTTTAATTTTCTCTGCTATTGTTGAAGTTATTTTGTATTAGCTGCATGAACTGTATGTGACTACTCATTTTTCGACAACATTTAGCAATGTGACAGTGTAGTTATTCGTCTGTTTCTCATGACTGCTGGAAAATTTTTCTGGAACACTGTCATCTTTATCAACGGATATTTTTCTTGAATCAGAAAATGTATCTATGGCGAAAAAATAGCATGATCAACAACAAATTTGCAAGTCAGTGCCTTATTTCCAATGCCCAATTTTCTGCATTTATAATTTCCTGTCGATTAATGATTATTGCTGTTTTATGTTATGTTGCAGTAGAGTGTAGTATATGCATGTTCATATACTGTTAATAGTTTATACCATTTGTTGTCCATTATAAAACAGATAGCTCTTCTCTTGCCTCTATTAATAAAAACTTTTCTTTTATTTGTATTGATAACGTTAGGAGAGCTTACATAGTTCTTGTTAACATTTGCCAGTATCTCATGCTCATCACCAATTGAATTTTTAACAAATCATTTTATTGCATACATCAGGAATCATCTTTCTGCATCAATTTTTCCATCCAGAGTAAATCATAATCTCTCTCTCTCTCCCCATCATATCTTGATTGTTTTCAACATGGTTTAGTACTACTACTATTTCATTTCCTGTTTTTCCCTCTAGAATCTGTCAGCAATAGTGTATGTCTTCATTAGAATACTGTCAACCTATATATCTCATCTACTTGCTATAATCTTTATTCTTCCTCTTCGCAGAATCTGGCTTCTTATGATATCTACGGTATGCAGTATCAATGCTGTAACTCAATCATTGATGATAATGCAACACTGTACACATAACATGCATTGCATGCTGTGTACAGCTACAGGAGCAGCACAGAAATCAACAGGACCTATTATGTTCAAAAGATAGCAGCGTAGGTTGTACTTATCAGAAGCAAGGTGTACATATGTGGAGTTACCGGGCAAGATCATATCTGAGTAAGCTGGTTTTCTCTCTGTTTAAAAATTTATCGGAGTGTAAGAGAACTTCACAATGGATATGTGATGTGAATCGGTCTTCAGAAGTAGGCTTATCTATATTGTTTATTCCCATTTAAACTATTTGTCTGAATAGCGGCTCATACTGCTTGCTAATGAGTACATGTATCGTTATTATCTGATTTTTTCACCTGTTACAATATATTCGTTGACTTCTAATACTCGGATCTAGTAGCCGATCGTTATGTTGAAATAACAGATTGCTCATATGTTTTTCTTTCTGTTTTTTAAGTCGTATTTTAATACGTAATAGGCGATGTAGCATTTGAGTTTTTTATTTGTTTGAACTTTTTGAATGAATGGCAAAAGCAATTACAATGAAGTTGTTCCTTTTGTTTTTATTTTCCTTTATTTTAATTCAGCTGATCACATTCATCGTTTTTTTTTTTTCCATTTCTTCACGTCATTCCTTTTTATTTTGACGTCTTAAATTTATGTCACTGTCATTTGTAAAAGCACTGCTTTATCACTTTCCATTATTTCTGAGACGAATAATTGCTTGCTGCCTTATCTTGACTCAGAACAGTCCATTTAAACTTTGGTAATGTAATATGAGAAACCTATCTTAGCCTAACACATCCTTGGTATTTTTAAGGAATTGTAAAGTCCAGTTTAATTAAAATGGGGAAGAGTGAAGAGACTTTCTAACATCCGCTCGATTTACTGTACGGTCCTTATTTTTGAATATGATTTTCTTCTTTCATTTTACACGAATTAGTCAATAAAAATATTCATATATTTGAGCTTTACTTCACACTTGAAATCTTCGCGGTTTTTTTCTTAAGTAAAAAGAATTTGTTTTCTGTTGCTTGGAACGGTAAGAGGCACTTGGTTGAGAAAAATAGTATTTGCGGCAATAAATTATCATGTTGAAGAGAATATTTATATTGGCCCGATGTAACTGTTTGTATCGTATAGCTTTTTTGAAATATAGTTTTACTGAATTTTTCGTTTTATCTAGTTTTTTGCTAGTATTAAATGCAAATGAACTTCAGGCCAGCCAGGTCCGGCAGGATATGGTCATTTGGGAGATCCGAATGCAGCTTACTTTTATGGCAGTGTGGATCCAACCATGCAAGGACGGCTGCAAGGCCCGGTTGGTTGGCAACCTCAAGGTTATCCACCTGGACCTGCAGGCCCACCTGGTGCTCCCATGTATCATCCTGGAATGCGACCTAGTGCTCCAATGCGACCTCCTTTGCCACCTCAAATGATACAGGTAAAGTTTAGTTTTTCAGCTTTCCTTACACGTCAAGCCTGTTAGTCTAAAAAGGTGTCATAGCGCTAAATCAATACTTAGTGATAGTATCGATTAGTGATATCATTTTATAAGCGTCATTTCTTTCTGTATATTTAATAGGCTGACATAATTGTATTTCAGCAAGGTCCAGTAATAGATGAGCAACAGAGGTACGAAGAACAACAGCGGCAGCATTATTTTCACCAACAACAAGCAGCAGCATATGCTGTTCAGCAACAGTTACCGCGTACAACGACTCCGTCTACCTTACAAGTCAGAATTTTTACTTTTACAGACTCTGCGAAGCACATTGGCAAAAGAAAACATTTTTGCTTAATTATTCTAACTGATGCTACCTATTACTGATGCTGGTTTATTTAAAATCTAGATTCAGATTATTAATTGTGCTTGTTTTAGTCGATGGTCCATCTTTTTGTATATTACTGATATGTAAGATTGAATTTAATAAAGGTCCGTCCATATATAAAGTAATTGGGCATTTTTGAAATAAGTTATTTAATAATGCCTTTTTATTTCGCATCCAGGTTGACAATCAGCAGGGTCAAGGTTCGCAGAGTCGAGCACCAAGTACAGGCCCACCACTGGCTTCGACTCCAGATAGTAATAGTAGGCAATCAACTGAAGATAATATGCCTTTGCGACCACCAAGTCATCCACAACAAATACCAAATGCGACGACCTCTTGTAATATCCCTCCATCTGTACCCTCACAACAGCAGTCTTCTGGTTAGTTATTTAAGAAGCTGGTTGCTTTGCTAGTGTCTTAAAGTGGTTCTACAGAGAATTATTTTAGTAAAATGATTATAAATTCGAAAGCCACCATGATTAAGACTATTACTTCTTGATTACTGTAATTATATTGGCATCTTTAAATTTACATTGTTAAATTCACGTGTTTAGCAGTACCGTATTATGGACAACCTCACGCACCTCAAATGTATGGTGCAGCAAACTTGCGTCCAGGAGCGGGGCCTCCTGGAACACTGTCAATGAAAACCGGTAGTTATCATCAAACTTATCCACCGTCTCAACCCGGATATTCTGCTCACAATTATCAGGAAGGTTACCAAGCAATGCATCCTGGCGTAGCAACTCAAATGTACCAGCAGCAGGTCATTTTTTCGTTCGCTTATGTCTTTCCAATAACTTTTATATAGGTAAAATGAGCTTGAACTTTGTTGCAGATATGGAATTCCCAACAAATGCAGAGGTATTCAGGACCGCATGCAAATATACCCACTTCATCCTCTATGGGAAACGCCCAAATGGGTGCTGCAATGGTACCACGGGTTTCCGGAACTCTACCTCCTGAGATGCAACAGCACTACGCTGCAAGACGGCCTCCTTTTTGCTTGCAGACACCTGGACCAGCCATAGCTCCTGCTGTTCCAGGAACAACCAATCGATTAAGGGTTAGTTTCAGGTGTTGACATCAGTATGACAGTGTAATATCATTATGAGATACTATCATTTACCTTGTAACTTGCATTGCATTAGCAACGTCGCAAGCTTTTACTGATGAAATAAGAGTGGTTAAATAAATGATACATGCATGTTTAGGAATATCATGATTACAATTTTTTTTTATCATGCAGTAGATTTTGTTAAATCGATAAAAATTCTAGTATTCGACTCCGTCATCTAATTCGACAACACATCAGCAGTTGCAGCCACAATATCCATCGCATTCCATGGTGCAGGTATTATTTTTTTGTTTTGTTGAGTCATTCAAAATATGCAAATTTTGTCGTCCGCTTTGCAAAGATGAAATGTTAGGGTCGTATTTGTGGTGCGTTACGCATGTTCTCGTATTACTTTGAAAATAGGAAGTGATTTCTGTTACTGCATCGTTTTTTTGCGCTTATCATCAGAAAACAGTATTTCACTGTATTGCAGGGGGGTCGCGTAGTTGGTGCATCGTCGAATCCCTTTCCGCATATAGGGCCATCGACATCAACAAATTTCACAGGAATGCATAGTACTACTGGATCATTGGGACAGTCGTCAGCGTCAGCTATAAATGTTGTTCCCAGTGGTATGCCTGCGTCTAATGCTAGTTCAGCTCCGGGTACTGTGGGTACAATCATACATCCTTCATTTGCCCAGTTCACTCAACCTCAGCCTATGCAATTTCCGTCAGGCAGTGTTGAAGCAACAACAATCAGTCAACGAAGGAGACGGAAATTGGTGATGAAAGATTTGATGCGAGTAAGTCAAAACTATTTACCATTTCTCTCAAGTTTTGGTTAAACGACAGTTCTATATTTCCCTATCTTGTAGGTGAGTACGAAACGTATAACGATGGCTTTACGCAGCGGTTTAGAAACGGAAGCAACATGGGCACTGAATGCATTGAATGTTATGCTGTACGACGATTACGCTCCTCCTACAATGTTGAATCATACTCCTGGACTTTTGAACGTACTGGTCGAGCATTTCAGGGCATTGTTGTCTCTTCTTTATCCGAAAGTGTTTGAGGTTTTTATTTCTTCTCTCAAAAATATGGCTCAATTTATTTCTTGGTTGTTCTGTTCAAGTTAGCTAAAGAAAGTTTGAACAGTTTAATCTGCTTAGAATCTTGATTGTTGTGTCGTCTGCCTTAATATATTTTTTATAAAGTTTATTGAAGATTTTGTATTCATCCTCAAAATTAATATAATTTTAGGTAGGCGCAGAATCGAAAGTACGAACAACGGATGATGAATATAGTGAGTTTTGGATACAGTCTTCAAAATTGGAACATACAGCAGCATCTTCATTGGTTGCTTCACGTAGCTTAAAAAATGAACCGACGAATTTCACAAAGGTATCACGTACAGGTGAGTTTTACAGATGAGTTAAATGCTTAGACCAAATGTTTGTGGCAGACTAATGATGTTAAAAATATTTCGGTGGTAAAATTTCATGTTTAAAAAGAATCTTCAAAATTCGAAAAAATTTATATTGATGTTTCCGTTGCTTATAGCTCTGCGAAATCTTTTTAGGTCGAACAGTACATATTGAAAAAAAGGAACTACCTGAACGTTTGAAACGAGCGAGACCAAGTGGATGGTCATGTGACATCGCGGATGGTAGTTAGTTAACTGAAATTTTAGTAGGATTGAATAACAGGCGCTGTAACATTTCTAACTTTATATTGTATTTACGAGTTTCTTCATTTTCCAAATTGTGTGTGCACATATTCTAAACTCTCGATTATTATTTTCTATTTACAGAGACTCTTTCATTGAATTACCACGAGTCGCGAATGTTGAGTGGATTGGGAGGCGAAACATCTTCCTATCTAGCAGCTCGACTGATTACTGATATCGAATTCAGGAAACAGTTTAAAAAACCAAGGTTTTTTGTGAAAGAAATGAATGGAATATCGAAATTGATTGAAGCTGACATTGATGAAGTGGCGTATTATAGTAAAATTGATAAGGTTGCTTGATATTCGTAAAATAATATTTTTTCATGATCTTCATCACTATATTCTTATGAAATTGAAGCAATGCGCATTCTATCTTGGTGTCTAATTGTCATTAACACTCGTAATTATTATGTGTTGAATTTATTATTTGCAGTCAATGCGAATCATTCCGTCGGATTTGGAAAAATTTAGCGATGAAGATGAATACAAAAATGTAGTAGAGTTAAAAACTATACGACCAACGGCACTTTGCGTTCGTGATGAATCGCGATTACAGCTTGTAAGTTTGACTAAGAAGAAATTTCATTTAATACTTTGTCATTGAACGGGAACTGTGTACGTGTATGATTACAAAATTACCTTCCATTGAAAATGTTTGTTGTTATGAATCTATCTTTTCTACAGTTTCTGTAGCTATTTAAAATAATTTTTTTATATCTCAAAAATTTTTCCATATAGGTGAGGCGTTGCTTGGCAGTTTCGAATGTTTTGCGTGGCTTGTCTTTTCTTCCTGGTAATGAAGGACCAATGGCTAAACATGCAGGACTTCTGTACATCATTGGGAGATTGTTACGACTTTATACAGACGAAAGAACGCTGAAATTACCAGGGTCACTTGCGAAGCAGTTGTCAAAGAATGTGAGTTCTGATTCCGCAAATCAGTTTTCTAATTTCACCTAATATTATACCACGTTAGAAAATCATTGAATGCTTGAATGTTATTATAACATTACTTTTTGACCACTATAGACCATTATAATTTATGTCCTTATAACGTGTTTTGTTTTTAGGAGGAAATCCAACCTGTTCTAGCTGTTGGCATGCTTTCGGAAGCAAACCGTCGTTTGATGGAGCCCGGAGATTTACTAGAATCGGATGATGATAATGCTTTATTACTGTTTGAAACAGCTTGTCAGTTACGAGAAGATGCATTTGTTACGCTTGTGCATATTAGTGTTCAGGTGTGTTGTCTTTTAAATGACTGGTTACTGTAAGTTCGTTTAATAATAATGTTTGATAGCTTTTAATTTGACTTCTATAACATACTTTGCATCTTCTAGCTGGATTTGATTGATTTTGAGTCAGATGTTGCTTGGCCATTATTTGATGCACTTATTCATTGGTGTGTAAGTAAGTGTGCTGAAGCGAAAGACCCGCTGATTTCGGCTGGTGTATCGCCAAGGTATGCTTTTTTTTTTGCATGTGGTTACATGAAGTTACTATTATATTATTTTATGTGCAGAATGTTCTATTCACATGAATTTTCCATATATTGATTTACTATAACGGATTTTATAAGAAGTCTTTGCACTGATTGCTTTGATAGCGAAGCCAACATTATTCTCTTTTTCAATGTATGACTTTAAAGAAACTATGCTTTGGAAGCCTTGTGCAAGCTGTCAGTAATTGAACACAATGTTGATCTTCTGCTTTCTACGGGTCCATGGTCACGCTTAGAAAGTTTTATCAAAATGTTGGTGGGATTGCTTGCTTTGAATGAAGAAATACCAAGCAGGTTAGTGATTTGAGCTTTTTTTATTCTTAAATTTGTTTATCGTGACGGCTCAACTAAACACTGGATGTTTCCATATCAATTCTGAAAATATACTCAATTAGGTCATTAGTATAAACCAGAAGGAAACATTCTATAAAATGAGGAGATATTTCATTGTCTTGCTATAATTTCTTTATTCACACAGGTTTTTATATTGCGTTTTTACTGACTGCTGTTTTACATCTTCAGAGAATTTGCGATTGTTATACTTTGTGCACTGTGCACTATTTCCGAACCAACATGTTATGTTGTGGCGGCCGAATCCCCAGCTGTACATTATTTGGTGGCATTCCTTGAGATGGGCGATGCAAATATGCATCAGGTTTGCAGTGAGATTGTTTTATTGCGGGATTATTTTAAAGATACATAATATTTATCTATTAATTGAAACTTCCTTCTTTCCATGTTCTTCCTTTTTTTTTATAGGGTCGATACTTTGCATTTCTGACATTCTTGAAGCTAGAATCATTTTAAAATTGAAAGTGGTGTTTCAGATAGCTCAGCAACATGGAATTCAGGCGCTTCGAGATAATCCGGAAATGATGGGTACTTCGGTCCCGATGTTAAGAAGAGCAGCTTCTATTCTCCAACAGCTCTGTAAAGTGCCAGCTTGCCGACAACATCTCATTCGCCATCAACAAAGGTTACTGCAGTTCACAATGTCACATCTGGTATGTTGTTAATCGGTTATTATTATTCGTTTGTCGTGGTTTTTCTACCCTTATTTATTTTTAAACGATAAGATCTGGTTAGAATGCTTTTAATTATGATGATCGTTTGAATTGACTTTTTTATTTGCTGCAATATTACTGTAGCTCAATTTCTAGTAAATTCACGAAAGTTTAATTTAATGCTGCAGATGGATTCACGAGTAGGACAGACCATCACGAATGTCCTGTACGCAATGCAGCACTTTTCGGATAAAGAGAGGGGGAGGATTGAGAAAGGCGATGAATCAGATGAAGAGGGATTCCAACGAAAAGAGAATAAATTAAGTGTAAGGACGAATGGTGATGTGAAATCTTTGAAAAATGAACTGGAATCAAGAGATTTCCCTGAAAGTAACTCCATGAAACACAACGGTCTTCCGAAGGGTACTTTTTTAAGTTCTTACATTTTTTCTCCCTCCTTTCTCAATTTTTTAAATTCAGTCGAAGCGTAATATGTATTCCGGAATTCTCATCTATTTTTTATTCAGCATAATTTTTCTGTGGCGACAGTGTTCATGGGTACTTCCTCAGACCATTTCATTTGACCTCTTACTTCATAAGATTGTCAGCGGTTTGGATTACAAAAACCACATAATTTTCTAAATTTGCTTAATAACATACATGGCTATGGTTTGGTTGCATTATTTTCTTACTGCAGCTATGGTCTTCTAATAACCATTATTAAGTGGCATGTCCTTTTAGAAAGAGCAGTTTGGTCTTTATTTTATTTTATTTTTTTTTTTTTTTAGTATTAGTGGAAAACGCTGATGGTCATGGAGATTATACGAAGCAAACGAAGGATGATGTATCGCCACGAGCAGCAAAAAAGCAGAAACTGGAAAATGGTCTTCTGACTTATTTACCAAGCAACAAGGGTAATATTACCAGTACTTCAGCACCAAATTCTCTAAAACCTTTGGTAAATGGCGATGTGAAAGCTGCTGTAACATCTATCCAAGCTGTTTCCAGAAGTACGCCGGCAACACCAGCCGGTTCGGTACAAGCAGTTGCGTAAACTTTTTCCACTGACATTTCAGAGATTTCTCATCCCTTAATCCTACCGAAATGTAGCCTTCTGAGACAATGTGACATTATGTCATCATTTCTAGAAGCAGGAAAATGAGCTCAAGAAAGTATTCATTGTTGTTTTAACGGGTACTGCTTTTTATTGCTTTTTGAATTTCATGTTAGGTGTTCCTTATGTTCATTTGTATTGTCTGACTTTCTAATTTAAATTGGGGCTGATGAGGGATTTTACTTATATGCGCTAAAACTTATAACGTGCGAGAGTTTTAGGTTTGGATTGAGGTCATACCGCATTATTTGAATTCAGTATGTCGACTGTTTGTAAACCGTGTTGGAGCAAGAAAGGGAGGCATCCCTTTTGTCAGCTCCATCCTTCGTTTTCTTTTTTTTTTTGTTCAGGTTTACCCGCGACTTTTATCTTAACAGTTTGTCGGGGATTATTGAAAATGTTTTAAGAATGGTCATTTTCAAATGTAGTTTGTCGCTTACGTTTATTAGTTTGGTATATACACGATGGTCCATTTCATTGTCTTTGATCGGCCGAAACAATAAATTCGGCAGTAGTATGCGGTGTTTTTTTTTTTTTTTTTTTTTGTCTCATAATTTTTGTGGTAATAGTAATGTCGGATTTTATATGTGTATATCAGTACCATTCAGTGATTTCATATCCTATTCCGTATACTCGTTGACGCTTAATATTTCTACCCATTGTTCTTGGTTATCATATATTTTTCCCGGATGGGCACAACTTATTGTTTTTCGTTTGTTTATTTTTGTGCTTGAAGCATGCCTTTTTGCCATCAACATGCACAAACTTTCATGTTTTCATACATTTTAAGAAAATATTGTTTTTAAAGAATTTTGTTTCAAATGGACAATGGCAGTTCCCTATTTTTCGATTTTGTTGCTTATGTATTATATATGATGCCTGGCTAGCAGTTTTAAATTCCATTTTAAGCATTTTAATTGCAAAAGTTTCAAGATTTTTCATCAGTTCAATGCGAATGTCAAAACAAATTCTTCAGTGTTTTCAAGTATATTTAAATTTAGAACTAGTCAAGATTACAAAATTACATAATTTTACTTCTCTATGAATCGTTCATACGATTCGTACACTATTTAATGATGTTTCTATGGATTGTTCTCATGATCCTTACTACCGTGGAATACTGCTACTCTATTATCCTTTACTAATATATTTTCTTACATTTTTTTTTTTTTTTTTTTTTGTTCATGTTGATTGAGCTGTTTTCGAAATGATATGTATTATTGTTATTACGTCGTTTTATTTATTTATTTTCGACTGTTTTGACACGAGTTTTGATATAAAAGTATTATATAACACTGTTTATCATTTCATAGAATTTTTGTGGTGGGAGAGCAGTGAGTCTTGAATCTTATTTACCTTTCATACGTAAGATTCTTTTACATCTAGCAAAGGAATTGCAAAAAAAAAAAAAAAAATCTATACAATTGTTTGAATCTTTTCAGCAAATAATTATTCCTAATTCTTTTGTTATTGAACGAGTGGCAAATGATGTAGAGTTAATGATGAGGAAGTGAATTTGACATTTGGTTTGGATGGTTTTTCACATTTGTCAATGTAAGCAGAATATCATCTCTGCAATACGTGGACAACAACTTCAACTTATTGTTTTACTAAGCAAGCAAGCAATCTGAATCATTCATGAATGTAAAATTATTCTCATCAAATTGTTATACATTTATGTGAATAAATCTAACGGTCAAATAACTATAAATTGTATATATGTTTGATGTGTTACTTTTCATATATAAATATCGCATATTGATATTAGTTGATGATTAAAATGAATAAAATAGATGGAGGAGATTTGTGATCAAAATATGTCAGAGAAGTTAGTAATACCATAGACAGGAATTTAAATGGAAGTTTAGATGAAAGCAGTAAACATTACCAACAGAATAACAAACAACATCTAGTGAATTAAACGAAAAAAAAGGAAAGGAAAGAAGTAATAGTTGACATTAGTGGGCTTCTAAAAGATAGATCAAAGTTTAGAAGCTTAGGAGAGAAAAATACCATAATGCAACAGAGAGGAGAGGATTAAAACAAAATTAGAAACAGGTTCAAAGGTGACAAAATTGATAGTGGCGCTAATAGAAGAACAACATGCTTTAGAAATTCATTTCGTGAACAGAAATGAAGACTGATATTTGTTTTAATAACTAAATATTATTAGCATATATATATACTAATAATATAAGGTTAAAAGATCAATCAAAGTGTTAGCTTAATTAATTAACATAAACTGCCCATTTATGGTTGCCCATTTGCATGGGTAATTTGCTACTGTAATGCAGAAAAGTGAGAAAGTTAGTTTTCGTGATGTGATTAAGAGATGTAAAGTGCATAAAAAAGATTGCCATTTCGCATGAATGATAATGACTGTGATGTGAGCTGTAATAATGAATGATATCATAAAAAATTGTGTTAACAGAAGTAGAAATTTTCTTTTTTTTTAAAATTTGAATAATCCAAATTGGATAGTACTTAAAAGGGACTAAATATTAGCAAAATAAAGATATTCTATTATAAGTAAGTAACTAAAATATATGAAATAAAATGATGAACAAATATATGAAATGAAATGATAATTGATAAATATGAAAATTTCTTGAGTAATGAATCTCGAGTAATGAAGAAGTCTCGAGAAATCTCGAGTAATGAAGAAATCTCGAGAGAAGTTTTTGATTGCAGGAGTACACCATATTGCAGTTCACCTTTTTCTTACTTTTTTTTTAAAGTAAATGAACAGTAAACAATTATTTTATAAAAATGAACAATAACAATTACTTATCAATATCATTTTAAAATATTCACTTTTTATAAGTTGTTTGGATTTTTCACCATTAAATTAATTTTTAACTCTCAATAGCACTTCAATCTAATTCTTCTAGACTTTTTGGCTTGTTTTTTTTTTTTTTTTTTTTGATTGCATTTATAAAGCTTACCATTTCATGCTTTTTCCTCATTAATTTATACTTTATTTTTTTTTTTTTCTAATTAATTCTCAGTTAATATTAATATTGAACAGGGAACAAGATATTTCTAAAATTTAAAATTTGAAAATATATTAATGATTTTCAAATAAGAATTGCTATTGTTTAGAAATGATTCAGTCAATTATTACTGAGAGAGAGAGAGAGAGAGAGTGGTTAGAAGAGAAAAACAGAACGAAGCCACTTGGAATGTTAACTTCGAAATAATATTCTTTTCATTGTGAATGTTTGCATGTTGAGCTTGGTTTCAAATGAATCATTGTCACGCATCTCTCATACTCTCTCATACATTTATTGTTATCAATGTTGTTTACTATTGTTGATTGTTTATTTGTTAGTTAATTTTTACATTTTGTATAAATTAAAAAGTTTTAAACAATCAATCAGTTAGTGAAAAAAAAAAAAAAAGGTGAAGGAATAAGACTGACATTAAGTATGATAATTTTAATTTTTCTAGCATATTATTCATTCTTCCTTTGGTAATTAACATTTGCTGGAAGAAATTAGCTGGAAGTGCTGGTGATATAAGTAAAAAATAATATTGCGACATAGTGAATGCGCTATAGTCGTGAAGTTGGAGTAGCGGAAACAAAAATACGATTCGAGGAGTCTCAGCCACTGATGAGCGAATCGGTTGCCAGTACTAGCAGGGACGACATTTTTCTGTTGCCTCTAGCAAGTACACAATCGTCCTCCACAATAAATCATTTCGCCGGATTTTTCGACACCATTATGTTTAGGTTTATCTTTATAATCATACACAAATGCAACACGAGTTTTTAATTTCCATAAAATTTTATGTTTCCGTTCATTGTTATAGTAAAATTATAATTTTTTTCTTTTTCCTTCGTAACTTTTAAATTACCGTATTTCTATTAGCTTACATTTATACTTAGAAGTGAAAGAGAAATTTGCTATGAATGTGAAGGAGTTCTCATCATAATAAATAATGTTTCCAATATTGCTATGGCTTTAGGTGTTGCTGGAATTTTCTTCGCCGACGACGTACATTGCATTCTCGAACAATAAGAGTTGGTCATGGACCAGTACTGGGTTCTGCGCATTCATTTCCTCCCAATACAGTGTGTAATCAGAAATACAACATGTTCACATTTGTCCCTTTGGTTAGACATTTATAAATATTACAACATATGCAGTATTTCAAATTTTCCGTACATTCATAAATAGTTTTATAGGTACTTTTTCAACAGTTCAAGTTCTTTCTGAATCTTTACTTTCTGCTGATGGCTTGCAGTCAGTTTATTCCAGCAATTCAAATTGGAGCACCGATCACTTATTGGGGACCACTGGTAAGAATTTTTCATTGATTAAATAATATCAAAGACTAACTGTCCAAATTGTAGGGTTTTGTGCTAACGGTAACACTGATTCGCGAAGCTATGGATGATTTCGTTCGATTCTTGAGAGATCGAGAACTGAATAGTGAGAAGTATGAAAAGCTAACAGCGCAAGGCATCGACTATATATCAAGCTCGTAGGTTACTTTTTTGTGTATGTCAGTTTCTTTTTTCATACCCGTTATGACGCTAGAAAGGATTTAGATTTTTGTTTAACAGGAATCAAGTCTTGCTGTTGTAGGAATATCAAAGTTGGTGATCTGATTATTATACAGAAGGATAAGCGTGTACCTGCGGATGTAGTGCTTTTACGAACTACTGAGAAATCAGGCGCCTCCTTTATTAGAACTGACCAATTAGATGGTGAAACTGATTGGAAATTACGGATTGCTGTTCCTGTTACTCAAAATCTTGCTTCAGATCAGGTACCTCTCTTTATGCTCCATACCTTTGCTTAGGTAAGAATTTTTCATTCATTAAATAATACCAAAGACTAACTTTAGTGTGAAATCTCGTATCATTTCAGGACATATTCGATCTTAATTTGGAAATTTATGCAGAAAAACCACAAAAGGATATTCATGACTTC